TGTGCAAGTTAATGAAGCGGGGGTCCCCACTTGCTTCCCCTGCTGAGATCATTTAATGATTCTCCTGCAACCTATTTATGGGAGCGCTTGGTGAACATAACAGAGGTTAATAAAGTAGAGGTCAACTCTTTATCACGCCTGCCCAGTAACTGTTTTCCCCTCTCCTGCACTATAACTCATAGACGCATTTCTCATTAACGATCTTCCCCATAGGGCGAGTAAATATAAATGTACTGCACAGAGTTTAATTCCTTGATTCCCGTGGGCACGTTTGCTTGATCGTCAAATTATTCCGGGTGCCATGGCTGGCATGTATTTCATGCTAATAGTCTGCATCTTACCGGAGGCTGGAAAAACAAGTGTAGCACGCATATTACACTGAAAAATGACAAACGCTGGCCAATCAGGGGTGTAAAAAGCTGATAGAGTGAGACAATGCACATTGGAGCCTTGAGTTGAGTCATTTCATACGGAGGAGGGAGCGTGTAGCACTGGCAGAAGGGAGTATTAGAGGAAAGGGTGTGTGTGTGCATCAACAGTGTGTAAACACATTTGTGCCTTGTAGGAAATCATAATGCAATAACCGCTTTGGTAATAACTGCGGCTGTGTAAACATGCAGTGTGAATACACTGTGGAGGCAGTGGAGTCCACCTGTAGTTTGTGGACTTGTGTCTGTCTCTGCTACTTATGCAAACTGTCACTGTCTTCCTTTGTTAACATCAAAAGAAAACCTCCTCTTTCAAATACTAATTTGTTTGTACTGACAGTACTTTAAAAGACTGGAAAATCTCACTCGGTACAGTGCTCCAGGTGTCTGTCCTTCACATTCAATAGTTCCCTCTGGCTCGTTTACTGTCAAAGCGTCACAAATTCAACTATGGATTTACTCTAGAGTTGTCTACGGTGGCCAACAGGTGCAAACATATTTCCAAAAGGAGAAAAGCGCTGCAGTTTGAGAAACTAAACGCAGATGCATGGTTTATATTGAGACAAAACCTTCTGGAGATCCCCGTTGTTTAGCAATGGAAGAAGCCTGGAACAGACTGTGTAAGGCTGGTTTTTAGCCTTGCAGAAATCCTCTATACTATTGAAGTAGTGGCTAATCATTTGCTGGCCCTAACAGCCTCAAGTGGCAAATATCCGGTACCTTTGTGCAAAAAACATATATTTCTCAGACAGCTGTGAAAGGTACAATCCTGGAACTTGCTATCTAACCACTTGTAATCTTGAAACAATTTGAAAAATGCTACCAAGCCTTTACAATTCAGAAGCAAACTGGTTCCCATAGTTTCCAAGTAGCTTTTCAATATGTCCTTCATTGCATATTTGATATACTTTTTTGTATGACACTGTATTCTGGTTCACACTGGTTTTCTAATCTCCACATTTCCATGAAGCCTTATAGGGTTGGGTGTTACAATCTAGAATGTGCCATATGTGTCCCTATAAACAATAACTAAATAAATATAAAGCTTTCAAACTAATGACACCATTGTTTGAAATGTGCTTGCTTATATATGTTCGGCCTTTACTGTGGTACTAATCTAGAATGTTACAATCTACAAATATATTAGTGATACATACAACAGCATTAAAGAGGGACTTATACTAGACTTATAACTGCTTTTGTCACATTTAGGAATCACTATTAATAAACGTACACAAATATCATGCACAGATTAATGGCACACTGGCTCAGAAGAAAGCAATGCTAGTTTTATCGCATCAGAATATACAAAGTGTGCTTCCTCCATTGGGTGTCTCTTGTTGTACAAATGAAACTGGTATTTGTGTCTCCTCCTCAGCAGTTCTCCTGGTGGTTTAAGCACTACCCTCCATCATAGCAGCTTTTTAAATGAATGGCTGCCTTTATATTTCCTTGCTGAAGCTTCCTCCAGGAAGTCTCTCCGTGCTCCTCTGAGCAGCAGACGTCCTTCAAGATTAAAGACTGGCTCAGTTTCGGGGCGATGTGAGGATGAAGAATGGAGGGGAGTTAAAATGGGAGAAATGATCATGTGTGTTAAGAGTGATGGGGAAAGAAGTCCTTTTCAGTGTACTGAATCACTCCAATCTGTTTATTTAAAAAGATTTGTTTAAAGGATTTATTGCCCAGTGCTCCATCTGCGTATAGTCAGACTCACTGAAGTGGAACACGGATTAACCTTCAGCTGGATAAAGACACCATTTCTATACTGAAAGCCCTATTACGTACAACTCTTGTGTTTTTTCAACACCTAATTGTTTTAATCCAATATTTGGTACAATGCCCCTTGACCCTTAAATGGAGGAAACAAATCCACGCACAGTCCGTAGCATCAGGGAATTGAACCTGCATCCCTCCGGTTTCAAAGACAAATCCCACAAACTGAGCTTCTACCACTTAAGACATGAGAGTAAGTATTGTGCTTTAATGCATTAAGCTTAAATGACATCTTGTTATCCTATCTCTTTCCTTCTGTTTCAAAATAGATCATTTAAAGGGCTGTTTTTAAAAATGTCTTCAGTTTCACAGATATGCAGCAACAAGCGTTTTGTTTTGAATGTCAGAATAAGTATTTCCCTCAGGAACACGTAGACAGGAAGGCATCATGTGTCTGTGCACACATTCAAATCCCTGCTGATGATGTAACACAGCTTTGCTTTTGTTACGGGCATATTATGTCCATGTAGACTGAGAGCACACTGTGGATTAGACAAAAAGTCAAAACCCAGCTGAGGCTCCTACTGGCAAAACACTCCCCGCTGGCTTCCCACCTGAAAACACTACCAGCTGTGTGAGATGGAATGCCTGCTGGGTGCTGCGGAACACAATATGTGTGTCCTGTAGAGTCAAAGTAGTACCACAAAGGCAACAGAACGTGTGTGGAATGTTTTTGTTCCTGTTTTTGGTAGGTTTGGGCACAAAAGCAACTTGTTATGTAAAGGGAAGGTTTTCTTTTTTTTGTTGCAAAAAACACAGCATGTGAAGTTTGAATTTGGAGCTAACAAACAATGGTTTTCAGAAGAAGACCTGCTGAGCATGAATGCCTTTTTCACACTCTCACAGTGAGACACATTCCCAGCTGCCATCCAGAAACTGGCCACTTTGCAGCTCAGGTATATAGACCATGTTTGTGCATTTAATATGAACCCTTATAGTCACCTGAATATCATATTCATTCAAAATGCATTCAAAAATCCTAATTCATGTGTTTCTACAACAGCTGGGCATTAGATAGATTTATATTGTTATTGATAAAAGAGACAAAAAATCCTACACAAATGTGGACATTATTATATTTCACATGTGACTTTTTCTTATGGTGGCCGACAGGTGCAAAAGCGCTACAATGGCCTATAACATTTAGATAGTCAAACATCACTGTCGTCGAAAAGTGACCTCAAATGTACTTTTTATCGGCTTACTTTAACAATGAGATCACATGATCCTTCTAATATTATTCCAGATGAGCTGTAAGCTATCTAGATAAGCTAACCTAGTAATTTAAAATATATTGACAAAACACTGATGAAATAGGTTAACTGTGCCAACAGTGATAGGGACCACATGAACAAGCTCAGGTCCCAGCTGTGTGCATCATTTTTTAATGTCCCCTGGTTTCTTGCAGCGTTTTTTATTTGCAGTGCATTGTATTTGTAGCTTTTTCCACTCTTTAAGTAAACGATGCTCATCGTGGGTGAATATGTTTCTTCATTTGCATGTGTTTTGGCACGTGTGGTTTTTATATTTACTTAATTATTAAAGCTGCAGAGCATTTCTCCGAGTTGAAACGTGTTTGTCGGCCACAGCATTACCTGGTTTTAAAGGTCCCATGTCATGCTTTTCCGGGTTAGGATCTCCAACAAGCCGTTTAGGACAGAGAGTGAATACACATACTTTACAGAGTTGCTGTATGAGAAACCATGTGATTTTGGAACATTGAACAATATAAATCTATTTTAGTAGACCTCAACAATGGAATTATGATCAGTAGAAATGGCCAAGACATGGAACCTTTAAAGGCTGCCATACAGTAAAGTGATGTCATTTTTATATAACTTACTTCTATTAGTGTTACCTAGTCATTATACTGACATTACTGATGATTATTTAACAAAAAAGGTATTGTGAGAATACAATCTTACAATATCATTGGGATATCAAGGTATTCCATTTTTGTTCTTTCTCCATATTGCCCAGCCCTATGTTTCATCGTGGCCACGTGTGGCAGGGGGGGGGGGTTTATTCCATACTATATCAGCTTTGCTTTTGTGTGCTCGGTTCTGTTGCATTTTTTCTGGGCCAGCCTCCCTCATCAAAGTGATTAAGCAATTACACTGATTATACCATGCTCAGAAGAACGAGGGAAGGACCCTAAAGTATTGAGTGCTAAAGCTTTCTTCGAGATAACGGCTTAATTTGTGCCTGCCTGATCAAAATCAAGCCTGTTCTTTACATCTTCAACCTTCCCTCAGGGGTGGGTGGCTCATGGGGAATTGAGAAGGTAAAGGAAAGATGAAGGTGGGAACCCTGCGATCCTTTATAACTTCATTTTTATGGCATATAGACCTTATGCAATGCACAGGCATGTTATTATCAGGCGTTGAGGAGGCCTCTCTTCTCCCCTCCTATAATAATTCACATTTCAGAACTGATGATACAGATAGGAGCTTCTAAGATACTGCATATGCATATCAAAGAGTTTGGGCAAAAATAGACCAACATGCAGTGCGTCTCTCTGCTACTGTGTGCATTCATAATGAAAGAGGAGTCTGAAAAGTCCCATGGATAACAGCCTATATGCATGGTTTCACACACACACACACGTCATACATTTCCCATCAGCCAAAAAAGCCAGTCATAATACACACATATGTTGGATACAACATCAAAATGTAACCACAGCGGAACTCAAATCACATCCAAGAGCAACGAGATTGAAGCCCGAGTGTGTGCACAACATGGGAAGAAGTGAGAGAGAGAAAAAGAGGGAGGGGGTGGATAAAAAGAGGAACTCACCCCTGGAGGATATCTGAAGGTAGAGGCGGGGGTCTGAAGCGCGTATGGCCGCGGTGTATCGATCCTCCATAACGGGCACCTGCGCCTTTTTCTCGGGTATGAGCCTGACCCTGAGGCGGCCCCCCTCGACGCCGAGCCACCACTCCAGAATAGTTGTGAGGTCCATTTCAAGGTAAAGCACCGGGGCCTCCTCGTGCACAGACAGCCCCCCGCATCCGGTCCTCACTATATCCTCTCCAATTTCCACCACCACTTGGTTTGATTTCCTGCTGGCTTTCGTCAAGCCCAATTTCAGAACTTTGGACAGCGGCCGCTGGTAGTAGAAGGGGAGCTGTCCATCAGCGGACGTGTTCCTCAGTGCTGAGTCAGACTTGGGATCCACAAAAGTGGCTATGGTTTTCTGCAAAGGAATGCAGAGCATCGTCAAGTTTGCGCGCACCATGTAACACCCGCTAAAAGTCTGGCAGTCGCCGTTCAGGGGTCTCTTTATGAACTCCGCCAGGTAATAGCGCAACAGAGAAGGGACTGCAAAATCCACAGCTAGGGTTTTCCTCTTGATCCTGGAGTTTATGGTTTGGCTAAAGTCCCTTTTGCTCCCTGTTTCCCCGCTGCTGCTGCTGCTGCTGCTGCTGCCCCCACCGCTGCTGATGTTGCTGAAGCCCGAGGTGGAGAGCTCCATCCCCGCTGTGATCCGTGGTGAGGCACACTGCAGCCCAGCAAAATATGTCGCAGAAGAAACAAGCAAAAACAATATCCTGGTGTCCATGGTGAAATAATTGTAGTATTTTCTTCGCAGGAACACCCTAATAATCCCACCGTCCGCCGCTTCCCCTCCGCTCGTGTCACATAAACGCAGCGCAAGATCTCAAAGTGCGAATCGATTATCCTGCGGGTCCTCCTCGCCGGTGCGCACCAAGCCGAAGGGAACTGGCTATTTACATGTGTTTACCACTGACTGTTGCAGTCCTCCCTTCATCAAGCGGAGAAAGTGCCATTTCCCCCCCAAACTCTGTTTCCCCCACACTCACACAGGCGCGCAGCTTCTAAGACAATGCCTTTTATCTCCTGTGCGAGCCGTGCGCGTCACTCTCCGGGACGCTGATTGATATGCCGGTCGGGTCCACTCCGGTGGCTTTCAAAGACTCCCTGTCTCTTGGCACAGTTGTGACGGCGGTACAAGTGTCTCTCTGTCAGCAGCGGGATGCAGTGTCGCGCTTTCCCCTCACAACTACACCATGCATGCACAACGAGTTTTGGAGGAGCCGAGCATCAATTAAAGTTTAAAAATACAATCATACCGTGCAGTGTTGGTTAATTGGAAAGCCTGCCAGCTATCTCTCAGGTTAATTGTCTGATGAGGATTTCGGCGCTCGTTTGGTGCAAACTGGCAGCTCTGTCGTGCCAGCACATGCGGTAAAGTCAGTCATTTGACGTCAATATAAGCCGTTTTCCCCCAACACGACTCCCTTGCGAAAAAGAAAGCCTCCGCCGTTCTGGACGCGTCTGGAGTGCTCTCAGCGCAGCCGTAATAGTGGCCCGTCTCTTATTGAAATTACAAGATGAGGCCAGAGCATCCAGTGTCTCTGGAGATTTCTCATTGAATCAACCGAGGCCCTTTGGTGCGTCCGGAAATTGGGAATTGGATGAGTCGCACTCTCGCCGTGGCTTTGTGTGCAAATCAAATAATGTTGTCAGCAGGGGAGGGCCGTTGGGTTGGAGAAAGCAGATTTGGGCTTAGTTGCTTCTATGTGCAGAGTCCTTAAACACCGAAGGACGCTCCATTGCACCAGAAAAAAACACGCCACCTGTGTAGGTGGTAAATCAAAGGGGTCAATTGTATGGGGCAAGGAGGCGGGGAGAATGCCGAAAATGGCTGTATGTAGCCTAAACATTCTCTCTCGCTCTCTCTCTCTCTCTCATCTCTCTCTCTCGTCTCTCAGTCCACTCGCGTTCTCTCTTCTCTCCGTCGTCTCTCTCTCTCTCTCTCTCCTCCTCTCTCTCTCTCTCTCTCTCTCTCTCTCTCTCCAAAAAGTTGATCGGATAACACACCCACTAGATGGCGTCAGCACATTTATGGTAATTCACACACCTCAGTTTCACTGACGATCCATTAATGCTTAATTACTTTGGATTTTTTTACACAGTCTCATTAGAGGCTTATCTATAGAGGGGGATAGTGTGGAAATGCTATATGGGCTGATGCATCACCGGATTTACTGTGTTTGGCAGCAAAGGTAGAAATTGGCTCATTCCATTTTCAGTGACAGTTTAATGTAATCTATTTTGACTGATATATTGGTGTAGAAATGCAGGGCCAGAGATATGTTACGGTGTGCGGGAGTCAGTGATATAATATAAATATGTCTTTATGTACACGTATTTTGGTACTTTGTAAATAAAATGGTGTATGTCCAATGTGTGTGACAGTAACATTCATTAATTCAAGACTCAGTTTATAGAAATGAAAAGTTATAGATTATCCAATTTCAGAAAACAAATGAAATGAATGAGAGAATGGTTGAGTAAAGAAATAGACAATAAATAAGGATAAAAGTTTGCTACTTTTGCAAAAACCTGCTTCTTATCTGTGACACATCAGTAAAGAAAAACTATATAGCCTACTACAAATGGCAAAGGCAAAATTGTGGTGTTGCCTATGTGGGTTTTATTATTTTAAATAACATATACTTGCTACATTTGGTGAATGTATAGAGTAGGCCAGTGGTTCCCAAACTTTTTGTGCCCAAGGCACACCAAAGGACAAGTAAAAATCTCAAGGCACACCTATTGTGCAAAATAGCCCTTATAACACGTGTTATCACTCATATCATGTAAAATATCTGTAAATGTGCATAATTATTTACTAATGCCAAATAAAATGTGACAAAGACAACTATATTACTCATGAAATATTTATTAACGAAATATTTCAGAAATTAATTTGAAACTTTATCAAATTAGGCTTCATCAAAGCAGCAACACACTCATTGTAACCAGACAGGTCACAACATTAAAAATGAGGCAAAGGAAACTCAGCAGAAATTCAGCACAGAGAACTGTCAATGCAAAGAAGCTGCATTGTCCATGGTCCTGAACTACAAATTATAAATGTAACATTTCAGCAATCAGCATTGAAACATGTGCTATTGTAAATATTTTGCCGACTTACAAATTAGTGAGATACATGTGCCTGTCGGGGCGAGCAGAATTTTGTAATCCTTGGTGGCACTGAGGAGAGGGCCACTCGCAAGTCCTGTTCAACAGAGAGCCGTGGCCTCCTGTTGTTCTTCATGTAAATCAGAGCAGTGAACGCCAACTCCAGAGATGGGGTCGTTACTAAAAAAATGTAATATATTACATATTACTTTTAAAAAAGTAATATATTACACTACTTCGTTACTATCTACATAAAGTAACTCGTTACTTTACTCGCCGAGCACGTACGAACTGCGCATGCGTGAGTGGCAATAACTTTCCTTACCAGCAGGCGGCGGTAGTGTGTATTTGTCATTCAAAACAGGCAACAACCGGAAGACAGAGAAGAAGAACAGACAACAAATAGCGTGTGCGGTAGCTTCACCTTAGCATGTGTTCTTTGCAGGTGTTTGTTGAGGTTTGACGTGGTGTTTACAGCAGTGGATAACAGCTTCTGGCCTGGACACAGTTTGCACCTCACCGTCACATTCCTGTCTATTCTTCGGACGGACTCAAAGTAATGGGCATACATCCACCCCTCGAAAGTTATCGCTGACTCAGCCATGTTTATGCAGCACTGCACGTGGAGATGTGGACGCGCAAGTCGCGCAGATTACGTACATATAAACCTACAAAGTACTGATATAGTAAATAAAAAAAGTATTATTTTTGTGTAGTTGTATATTGCAATAATAACGTATGGTTGTCACAAAATCCCACGGCGCACCCGGACTTGCCTCACGGCACACCAGTGTGCCGCGGCACACCGTTTGGGAACCACTGGAGTAGGCTATATGCCCAAATGTAGGCTACTGTGGTGACACGTTATTGGACATAATTCACCTCTCGTATTGTGTTGCCACACGGACCCTTTAGTGGGAACACCTGTAGCGTGAGCTTCCATTCCTGCTAGCTCGTCAAGCAGAGCAGTTGATGTGATAACCTCTCTGTTATTAATGGCTAATAAAGATTGGAACTCTGTTCTTAATATACCGCCTCCGACTCCCTTTTCCTGGCACTACACTGGTGACCCCGACGTTTCCGAGAAAGTTACCGGGAAATTAACGAGCATGGCTGTGTTCGTAAAGCTGCCGGAATTCTGGGAGCACGCCGCGGAGGCATGGTTCGCACATGTGGAGGCGCACTTCGCCTGCCGACAGATCCGTGACGGGAACCTGAAATACTACCATGTGGTAGCAGCGCTGGGCAGCTCTGCGTCGTCCAGGTTGGTGGGATTCATTGCAGCCCCCCCACATCATGGCAAATATGAGGCGATTAAGGCCCTTCTCATTAAGACATTTAGCTTATCTGCTAAGGAGAGGGCCTGCCAGATACTTGACATTCAAGGCCTAGGAGACAGCAAGCCATCCCAGCTAATGGAGAAAATGCTAAATCTGCTAGGGGGGGAAGATCCCCGGATTTTATTCACGGAGATTTTCCTGCGTCACTTGCCTCCCCGGGTCCAGACGGCGCTGACCAACACGCCTGTCACGGAGCCCCGTGCTTTGGCTGAGGAAGCAGATCGTTTTTTCCTGGCTACACAACAGCCCGGTGCAGAGACGTTAGCCGCAACGCTCAGCGGCCCACCTGCAGTCAAGAAAGCGTGGCGGAGGCCGGACACGGCTGTGGCGAGCCGGCGTGGAGACGCCGGAGAGTGCGTTTACCACGCACGTTTCAGGACTAGGTCGAAGAGATGCATCGCTCCGTGCAGCTACAAACCCCCGGGAAACGGAGGGGCCGGCGCTCAGTAGTGGCCCTGAGCGTCGGCGGCACGTGCAGGCTCCTCTTCGTCAGCGACAGCGTTTCGGGGAGCCTGTTTCTGTGTGACACGGGTGCTCAGCGGAGTGTAGTTCCGACGTCGCCCGTGGGGTGCACGGACCGCGATTGACGACGGCTAACGGCGGTCCCATTCGCACGTGCGGCGTGAGGCCTATGTGTCTGTGCATCGGAGGACAGCGTTTTAGCTGGGATTTCGTGACAGCGGACATTTCTTTTCCCCTCCTCGGAGCGGATTTTTTGTGTGCTCATGGACTCTTAGTGGACGTTAAGAATAGGCGTTTGGTTAATGCCTTAACGTTTTCTTCCCTCGTGTGCAAACTTGGCAGCGCAGCGTACAGGGGCAGACACGTTTCTCAGACTGTTGGCCGAGTTTCCAGACCTGTCGCTACCCACCTTCTCTGCGCTTACCACTAAGCATGGCGTGGAACACCACGTCACTACCGGGGGGCCTCCTGTCTACGCCAGGGCCCGGCGGTTGAACCCTTCTAAGCTGGTTGTAGCGAGGGCGGAGTTCGCAACCATGGAGCGCCTGGGCATTGTCCGCCGCTCCGACAGTCCTTGGGCTTCCCCCCTGCACGTCGTTCCCAAACCGAACGGCGGGTTCCGCCCGTGCGGGGATTACAGCCGACTCAACGACGCCACTACGCCTGACCGCTATCCGGTGCCGCACATTCAGGACTTTTCGGCGCATCTGGCCGGTACGGGGGTGTTTTCCAAGGTGGACCTGGTGCGTGGATACCACCAGGTGCCCATGCACCCCCTGGACAGTCCCAAGACAGCAGTGATAACGCCTTTTGGACTTTTTGAGTTCCTGCGGATTCAAGAATGCCGCTCAGACGTTCCAGCGCCTGATGGATTCGGTGCTGCGGGACCTGCCGTTTGTGTTTGTCTACCTCGATGACATACTCGTCGCCAGCGCTTCAGTGCAGGAGCACCTGTCCCACCTCCGAGCCCTTTTCACACGGCTCAACGAACACGGATTAATCATCAATCCTGAAAAGTGCCAGTTCGGGGTGTCGGACATCGATTTCCTGGGGCACCGCGTCACCAAGGGCGGTGCGACACCTCTGCCAGCAAAGGTAGAGGCTGTTGCGGCTTTTCCTCGCCCGCTCACAGCCCGGTCGCTCCGTGAGTTTCTGGGGATGGTGACTTTCTACCACCGTTTCATCGCCCGGGCCGCACACATCATGCGGCCGCTTTATGAAGCGTTGAAAGGCAAGACCCCCGTCCAGGAGATCGACTGGACAGCAGAGGCGGACGGCGCTTTTGCTGAGGTCAAGACCGCGTTGGCTCAGGCGGCTTTTCTGGCACACCCATCATCTACGGCTCCCATCTCCATCACCACGGACGCGTCGGACTACGCGGTCGGCGCAGTGCACGAGCAGTGGGTGGAGGGCGCTTGGCAGCCGCTCGCCTTTTTCAGCCGCCAGCTGACGCCTAGAGAACGCAAATACAGCGCTTTGACCGGGAGCTCCTCTGACTTTATTTGGCCGTGCGGCACTTCCGTTTCATGCTGGAAGGCCGTGAATTTACGGCGTTTGTCGACCACAAGCCGCTCACCTTCACCATGTCAAAAGTGGCGGAGCCTTGGTTGGCAC